GGCTTTGTCCTGAAGAAATGTTACATTGTCCTGGTCCTTCAAGTGTTTGTCAATAGGAAGACAGAAAAGATAGCTCCTGTAAACCAACATCAGTCGGGTTTGACAATATTTAACTGATCAGTTTAGCTAATAGTCATTTGGATGTTTTATTTATCGCCAGGAATTCTAACATAACTGTGGGTCTGATTCCAATCTTGCCCTGAGCTGCTTCTTGTCTGATCATTTTTAAAGACTTCAACATCATTTGAGTGAGGTCCCGAAAGTAACCGATACCTGTACAGCTCCATGACTGCAACTACCTAATACAAACCTGTCTGTGGATATGAGTTTAGTTATTGATTTATTCATGTCAATTCCTACTTGGTGAATGTGAGAGTGTAGTTGTCAAATTTGGTAAATTATTTATATATTACACAGCAGAGACTGACATGGACAGAATGATATACATCTATAGATCAACTTAAATGATCCAGCACAGAAGGCGTCCGTCTGGCTCATCATGCCCATGCTGAACCGAACACCACCAGATGGCCATCATAATCCCATCTTCCTGCACACATTCCATAGCCCTGCAGCTTACAGATCTTAAGGTGGAGGTTCAGGTATGTTCTTAAAAGAGTTTAGAGTCTCTGCCTCCACCACCAACTCAGGCATAGTATTTGAGATACGCACCCTCTTGTAAAAATGATTTTCCTCCCGTCACCTCTAATCCTTCTGCCACTTCACTTTAATCTATGACCGATGGTTTTTAAATTCTCTGCCAAGGGAAATAGGTTCCTCCTGTCTACTCTATCTCTCCCCCTCCCAATTTCATATGCCTCAATCATGGCACTTCTCAGCTTTCGCTGTTCCAAGGAATACAACCCCAACCTCTCCAATCACACCTCGTAGCTACAACTCTCCAGCCCTGGCAACGTTCTTGTAAAGCTTCTCTGCACTCTCTCCACAGCAATAACATCCTTCCTGTAATGTGATGACCAGAACAGCACACAATACTCCAGCTCCAGCCTCACTAGTGTCTTATGCAGTTTTATCATGATAGTCCTATTTTTATGTTCCAAACCTCTGCCGAAGTAGGACAGCATTATATACACCTTTTTTAACAACCTAACCTACCTGTGCTGCTACCTTCATATTCCACCAAGACTTCATATTGCACGCCAAGATTACTCGCTTTATCTACCACACCCACTGCCCCGTCGCCTCATGTATTCCTATTTATTGTTTCACCTCCAGAAATGCATTACCTCACACTTACCAAAGTTGAACTCCATGTGCCTCTTATCTGCCCACGCCACAAAACCATCTATATCATTTCGGAGCTGATAGCTATCCTCTACACTACCCACAACATGGTTATTTTTTGTGTTGTCTGCAAATTTCCAAACTGTGTCCCCCATGTTCAAGTCCAAATTGTTAACGTATAAAACAAACAGCAGAGGTCCCAATACCAAGCCGTATGGAACACCACTTGAAACAGCTTTCCATTCACAAGGGCAGCCATCGACCATTACCATTTGTTTCCTGTTGCTAAGCCTACTTTGGTTCCAATTTAAACACATTGCTCTGAATCCCATGAGCTTTTCTATTTTTGATTAGTCTGCCATGTGGTACTTTGTCAAATGCCTTACTAAAATCCATGTAGTCCATTACACTACCCTCACACATTCACGTGGCATTTACTGACAGAGACTGATTGACAAATACAATTGCATCTTCACACAGCAATCAGTGCCTGTTTCTGCAATATAGATATGTGAGTTTTGTTATTAATCTGTTTATGTTAACGCATGAACACACAACGCGAATATTTGAGTGCTGTTATCAATCTGTACCTGTCTTTTTCTGCTCTGTGAGTCTGAGAATTTGGTTATTCATCTTTAACTATTAGTTTCTGCGATGTGAATACACAAATGTTGTTATTAATTTGTAACTGTCAGTTTCCTCTACATGAATATGTGAATGTAGTTATCCATTTCTACCTGTCATTCTTGACTATATGGGTATGCAAACATGATCATCAAACTGTCCCTATCAGTATCTGCAGTGTGAATGTTTAAGTGCATTTATAAACCTTTTCCAGTCAGTTTCTATGTTGTGCATATGGAAATATAGTTATTAATCTCTCTGTGTCAGATTCTGCTCAGTGAATATGAGAGTATCGTTATCAAACTGTACCTGTCAGTTTATGCCATGTGAAACTGGGCGTGTTATATGAATCTTTTTGTATCAGTTTCGGCTTTGTGAATATGAGAGTGTAGTCATCTAGTCATAGAGTCATACAGCGGGAAAACAGACCCTTTGTTCCAACAGTCCATGCTGACCACAGGTAT